CAGATACGAGAACTGAGCGACTTATCGTGGGTAGTGAGATAAGAACCCGGTATCTCTGTTAAGCCCTGGGGATTGCATTGTCCTGAGTGTTGTAATAACTTGTAATTCAGCAATCTCGCGTTCTAGCCTGTTTCTGAAATTCCTTTGCAATAAAAGAGCTACTTTGTTGTGACACAAAATGAGGGTGAGAGGAGGATATAAGCTACTTTCAGTCCCCACCAGGGGAGCAAAGGGTATAAATGAAGTAAGTAAATTAGTACAGCCTTTACTCCAGTGTAAGACACACACACAAATGTGCATGCACGTGAAAGGTTATACCCGGAATTAAACTTTGTTGGTCTTAAAAGGTGTCACCTTGACACAGAGTACTCCATCTTTCTGTGTTATACCTCTGAGGATGCCAGTCACAGCTGCTGGCGAAACGTCAGGTCCTACAATGCCAAGACCACGGCCAGACAACCCGGAAAATCTACAGCAACTAATGAACTCCGGCCGTGAAAGCCTTCGACAACATATTAAAAAAATAATAATTGAGGGGGGTCATCTCATTAGGGTTGTCAACCTCCAGGTGAGGCCTGGAGATCTCCCAGAGTTACAATTGATCCGCGACTCCTGGAGTCAATTCTCCTGGAGAAAAGGGCAGCTTTGAAGGGTGAACTCTCTGGCATTATACCCTACGGTGGCCCTTCCCTGGCCATTCCAGGTTTCCACCCCGCATAAGTCCAAGTATTGCCCAACCTGGAGTTGGCAACCCTAGTAAGATGTCTGGGAGAGCTCCAGGCCCCACCTGGAGGCTGGCAACCCTTCTTCAGAGAGAAAAGTAAGGGGGGGAGGGCATGCAGCCTGGTTTATTGAGAACCCACAAGGTCTTTGGAATGCAGAGAAGTCAACCTGCCAATTAAGAACTGCCCCACAATCCCTGCTCCCTGTGCCTCCCTGAGGCCCCCTTCAGCTGGTAACTAGAGACAGGGCTTTTTCGGTGGTGGCACCTTCCCTTTGGAATGTCCTCCCCTGTGAGACTCGTCCGGCGCCTCTCTTGTTTTCCTTTAGATACCAGGCTAAAATATTCCTTTTTACACAGGGTTTTAGCTAAGGGGTGGTCGCCTTTTTAACAGCGTGTTTTAGTCTGGAGCTGATATTTCGAGCTATCTGCCTGTTAGGGATCCCAAGTCCCCCCGGGGGGCAGGGAAACCCCCACCCCAGAGGCCCGTTCCCCGGCGGCACCGGATCGGGCCTCGGGGGGAACTCCTCCCCGACGTGCGCGTCACCCGGAAGTGACAGGAAGACGCTGAGCACGCTGGGGGCGGGGCCACAGCCATACAAGGGAAAACTCTATGGTTTTCCCTTGTATGGCCGTGGCCCCGCCCCCAGCGTGCCCGGCGTCCTCCCGTCACTTCCGGGTGACGTGCGCGCAGTGCGTGCGTGCGCACCAGACGCAGGCCGGGAGCCCCCTGCGAGTCCCGGCGAAGATCAACTTGGCAACCCCACCGCCCATCTCTGTTTTTGTGCTCTTGATTGCTTGTTTTAGTGCTGGGTTTCAACAAAGAATTTTGTGTGTTTTTTATTGTGTTTGCTTTTGTAAGCCGCCTCGGGCAGGTTCTCTGGAGAGCCGGCATACAAATTCTCTAAATTAATCAAAGAAGAAGAGGAGATTGGATTTATACCCCACCCTTCACTACCTGACGGAGTCTCAGTGCGGCTTACAATCTCCTTTCCCTTCCCCTCCCTACAACAGACAACACCTGTGAGGTAGGGAGGGGCTGAGAGAGCTCTCTCGAGGACTGCGTTTGAGAGAACAGCTCTGAGAGAACATGTGACTGACCCAAGGTCACACCAGCAGCTGCATGTGGAGGAGCAGAGTATCAAACCTGGTATTCCCAGATCAGAGTCCACGCTTTTAACGACTACACCAAACTGGGTCTCTGAAACAAAAGAAGAATCCAACCACCCAGGAATCTCTATCCGAGTGCAGTGTCATGGTTCGAGTGTCGGATTAGCATTTGGGAGAACCGGGTTCGAATCCCCCACACTTCCAAGGAAGCTGACTGCATGGCCTTGAGCCAGTCACACGCTCTTAGCCCGAACTACCTCACAGGGTTGTTGCGAAGCTAAAATGGAGGAGAGGGAAATGATGTAAGCCACCTCGAGTCCCCAATTCGGGAGAGAGGTGTGTTATAAATGGAGTCAATAAATAACACATGCGCAGGATCCGAAGTGTTCAGCCTCACTGGCCTGACCGGGCGCAGTTTCCCTCACTCTCTTTGCCCTTTTGCGTCTCCCTCCCTGCTGCCACCAAGGCTTATTTTGTGAGAATTAGGACCATATAATTTCTGAAATACCCAGCTGAGGCTGTGGTTGCCATAGCTACCAACTAGGCCCTGAGAAAGCGGCTGGCAGCCCTGACCTAATTTTGCCGTCGCCGGCATCTCACTGCTCCATTTCGGTGGCCCAGATGGCTTCTGAAGCCATCCAGGGACTAGGGCTGCCAACCTCCAGGCGGGGCCTGGAGATCTCCCTGAAATCACTACTGAACCCCAGACGACAGATCAGTCTCCCTGGAGAAAATGGCTGCTTTGGAGGGCAGGCTCTGTGGAGTTATACCTATGGCTGCCAACTCCTGGAGACTTTTTAGAAGCGGAGCCCGGAGAGAGTTGGGTTTGAGGAGGGGAGGGACCGAAGAGGGGTATCGTGCCATAGAGTCCAGCCTCCAAAGCTGCCCAGCAAGTTTCCGTGACGGAGTGAGGATTTGAACCTGGTGCTTCCAGGTCCTAGTCCGATGCCCTAACCATGCTGCCTCTCAATTTGCACATCTCCCCAGTGGAAGTCTTCCTTTGGTCTCTCCTTGGGGGGTGCCGTTCATGTATCTCTGCTCCTCTGTGGCCAATGAACATGAATGAATTGACTGCCACAGGAGGTGGCGGCGGCTACAAGCATGGACGGCTTCAAGAGGGAATTAGATAAACATATGGAGCAGAGGTCCATCAGTGGCTGTTAGCCACAAGGTTTAGAGAGGAACGCTCGGTCTGGGGCAAGGGATGCTCTGTAATAGAGTGAGGATTTGAACCTGGTCCTAGTCAGATGCACTAACCATGCTGCCTCTCAATTTGCACATCTCCCCAGCGGAAGTCTTCCTTTGGTCTCTCCTTGGGGGTGCCATTCATGTATCTCTGCTCCTCTGTGGCCAAAGAACATGAATGAATTCACTGCCACAGGAGGTGGCGGCGGCTACAAGCATGGACGGCTTCAAGAGGGAATTAGATAAACATATGGAGCAGAGGTCCATCAGTGGCTGTTAGCCACAAGGTTTAGAGAGGAACGCTCGGTCTGGGGCAAGGGATGCTCTGTAATCTTGGTGCTTGGACGGGGGGCAAGAGTGGGAGGGCTTCTAGTGTCCTGGCCCCACTGCTGGACCTCCTGATGGCCTCTGGTATTTTTGGCCACTGTGTGACACAGAGTGTTGGACTGGATGGCCCATTGGCCTGATCCAACATTGGCTTCTCTTATGTTCTTCTATGGAGCAGAGGTCCATCAGTGGCCATTAGCCACAAGGTATAGAGAGGAACTCTCCATCTGGGGCAAGGGATGCTCTGTATTCTTGGAGCTGCGGGGGTTCAACAGTGGGAGGGCTTCTAGTGTCCCGGCCCCACTGGTGACTTCCTGGTGGCACCTGGTATTTCTGGCCACTGTGTGACACAGAGTGTTGGACCGGATGGGCCATTGGCCTGATCCAGCATTGGCTTCTCTTATGTTCTTATGGTGGGAAAGGACCCTGTGCTCATTCAGCCAAGTGTGGTGTAGGGCATAGAATAGTGCACCGGGGTCTTTCTACCGTGGAAGCTCCCTGAGGGTCTTTGGGCCCATCGCCAACTCCCAGCCTGGCCGTCCTCACAGGGCTGTTGTGAGAAAATGGAGAAGTGGAGAACAGTTCTAATTGGCTTGGATTCCCAACTGTGGGAAGAAAGCAGGAGATCAATAAATAAACGTCAATGCAAACTGCTGGTTTTGTTAGTCTGACTCATATAGCCGCAGGGAGTGGTGGCGGCTGCAAGCACAGACAGCCTCAAGAGGGAACTGGATTGACTTATGGAGCAGAGGTCCATCAGTGGCTATTAGCCTCAAGGTATAGATAGGGATTGTGGGGCAAGTGATGCTCTGTCTTCTTGGTGCTTGCAGGGGGGGGTCAACAACTTGTCCGGGGCAGTGATGCTCTGTCTTCTTGGTGCTTGGGGGGCCACAGTGGGAGGGCTTCTGGAGTTCTGGCCCCACGGGTAGACCTCCTGATGGCCCCTGGGTTTTGGCCCAGCGTGCGACAAAGAGCGTTGGACTGGAGGGACCATTGGTCTGATCCAACATGGCTTTTCTCTTATGTTCTTATGTCTGGGGCAGTGATGCTCTGTGTTCTTGGTGCTTGGGGGGCCACAGTGGGAGGGCTTCTGGAGTTTTGGCCCTGCTGGTGGACCTCCTGATGGCACTTGGGTTTTGGCCGCTGTGTGACACAGAGTGTTGGCCTGGATGGGCCACTGGCCTGATCCAACGTAACTTCTCTCTTATGTTCGGATGTTCTTGGTGCTTGGGGGGCCACAGTGGGAGGGCTTGTGGAGTTCTGGCCCCGCTGGTCAACCTCCTGATGGCCCCTGGGTTTCGGCCCAGCGTGCGACACAGAGTGTTGGCCTGGATGGGCCACTGGCCTGATCCAACAGGCTTTCTCTTGTGTTCTTATGTTCTAAAATGGCTTTTCTGCCATCAGCAGCTCTCTGTGCTGCTAAGAGTCATAGAACACTACGGCCCACTGCCTTTGCAGGAAGATTGAGCCCGTTTGTGCAGAGAAGATGCAACAGCTCCATCTTCCGTCGGCTCAATGAAAGGCTGCCTAGTGCTGGAATGCACCTTAAATGAAAGAGTGGCATCACATGTAGCTAAGGCTGTGTGGCTTGTCGTGCAAGCAAGCCTCTTGGGACGGAGCACTGTTCTGTTTCAACATGTCGCTCTCTCTCCCACAGGGAGCAGTTCCGCCTACCGGATAGAAGACGCGAATGAAGACACCATCGGAGTCCTTGTGCGCCTGATCACAGAGAAGAAAGGTGAGCTCTAGATGGGGGAGGGGCGGGAGTTGGTGGAACAAGGGGGGGGATTGCTTTCCCGGGCTAGGTGGATTTTTTGCCCAGCAAGGCGTCTGATTGGCCACTGGAGATTTGACTGGCTGGTTAAAAACGCTGCTTTGGCGGCAGCTGCCCCCACAGCACAAGGGGTCTTCACTGTGTGGCTGAAGGTGAGCTGGGGCAGCCATTTTGTGGCTGGCTCCGCCTCCCGGGGCAGCCATTTTGTGGCTGGCTCCGCCTCCCGTGGAAGCCATTTCGTGCCTACGGCCACCATGTTATGTCAAAACACCAAAGACGTCGGCAGGGTCAAAATGGTTGGGGAACTCTGAGGTTTTTGTTGTTTGTTTGTTTTATAATTAACTTTTTATTCAGTTTAACATATTAACACATAACAACAACATCGGTTCTTAACAGAGTAACCGCAAGAAATAAAACCATCACAAATTAACTGATGATAGTTCAGTATACAGTTTCAAACAATCATCTATTAACCAAAGAAAAAGAATAAATTCTAAAACCTAAAAACCATAATACAGAACCTCCATGGAACATAATAATTTCTGTGATTCCGTCTCTGATTCTATCGTTAGTAAAAAGGCAAAGTCTTATATTTCTGCGGCGATTTATATAGGCGAGGCTGGCATGCAGTAACATATTTGGAAAAAAACAAGCCATTTCTCCATAAAATTGCTCACGTAATTAGGGTTATCCATTGTTAGCAGTTGCATGGCTATCTTGTCAGATACAGCAATATCCCAAATCTTTATCCTCCATTGTGCCAAAGTGGGAATCCCAGCTAGTGTTCAGTGTAAGGCTATAAGTTTTTTTGCAGCCATCAGAAATAGGGATACAAGTTCTGTACTTTGTTTTGATCGCTTTAGGCCAGGCCGGTAATGTAGGAGGAGGGACTCCGTTGAGTTTGGTAATCCCTGGCCAGGAATTTCTTTTATTTCTTTTATCACTTTGTTCCACAATAATCTAATCTTGGGACACTCTGAGTTAAACAGCCCAGATACAATTTCACCGCTTCAGCAAGAGCTCATTTGAGGCCGTCTCGTGTCTACAATCACACGCTGCTTTCTTTTTCTAAAGGATTCCCCCCTCATTCTCTCACACACACCCCGTAGTATGAATGGGAATATAATATTCTTCTTGATTGTTCATATTCACATTTCTCTGGTTTTTATAGATTTATTCTTTAAGTAATATTTCATTAGGATGTTAGAAAGGCCTGTTATATAGAAGGCTTTCCTCTTGTAGGTCTGATATTGTTAGCAGACAACATAATAGGTACAAAGTTCATGATTCTGTAGTTCTTAGGGCAAACCTTTCAGTGTCTGGGTCAGAAGATTTTAGTCTCGTATCAGTAATGAATACTTTTGTTTGGGGTATGAAGAATCCTTGCCCATTATCAGGGCTCATTTTGTAGAAAAAGGCCAGCAGGAACCTATTAGCATAATAGGCCACACCCAACAGCAGAAACTCATTAGTTCCTGAATATGTTCAGAATAGACTCAAGGAGAAGATGAAGAAGAAAAAGAAGAAAGTTGTCAATTTTTGATTAACTATTTGGTCTAATTGTTTTCCTATTAATTGAAGCATATTTCCTGAATAGGCTGAGAAGAAAGTAGTCAGTTTTGGATGGAGTATTTGGTCCAATTGTTTTTCCTGTTAATTGAAATAAAACATAGATCTTCCTCCTCATTTGACTTCATTTTTGACATGGAATCTAATATGTACAACGCCCCTATTTCCTCCCCACAGAGAATGCCGCCGTCCTGGAGGAAATGCTGAAGGATTACCACAGCAAACAGCTCATGCAGCCGGTTTACAAGCCTGTGAACAAGTAGGTGCCTTTCTTAACCCTGACCTGTGTGGCCCCGACGAGCTACCAAACTCATCACATCTCAGAAGCTAAGCAGGGTCGGCCCCGGTTGGTACTTGGATGGGAGACCAACCCGAGGGACCGCCTTTCTCCATATGTTCCCCCAAGGGCACTTCGGTCAGGAGGGTGTCATCTCCTGGAAATTCCAGGCCCGAGAGAAGTTAAACTTGCTGCGACCAGGACTAGGGCATCTTCGGTGGCGGCTCCTACCTGGTGGAAGGAGCTCCCGGAGGAGATCCGGGCCCTGCGGGACCTTTCTCAGATCCGCAGGGCCTGCAAGACGGAGCTCTTCCGCCAGGCTTTTGAGTAGGAGCCGCCGCCAAAGCTATTCCACCTATACCCCCCTATGCCCTGGCGTACTAACATCTGATTGCCTGGCCCCCAAGGGTGGAGCGAGGTGCTTGGACACGCCTCTGAGGACAAGATCGTAGGACGTAGCTGTGTGAGGTTAAGATCTCCCCTTCTTGCTTAAACCTGTCGTAATCTGTTATGATATTTTATTGTGATTTATTGTTTTTAAATTATGTGTTATTGTTTTAACCTGGCACACAGTTGCCCTTGTTAGCCGCCCTCAGCCTTCGGGGTAGGGCGGGATATAAATCTCTCCTTATATATAATTGAATAGTGGGTGCCAAAGTTCTAATTCTAAAATGCACTCCCTTAGTGTATGGCTGATGGCACTGCTCCTCAGCATATATCGCCACCAATCAGAAGGCAAAGCCCGGGTCCCGCCCACACCACAACTGCTGCGACAACCTGGTCTTTTGCATATGGAAGCTGATTGGACTTCAGTCCATTCCACACCTCAAACTCCCCCCCCCACCAGGCAGTTGGAATTTACAGTTGCATAACATACCTCATAGGGGAGAGGAGAATGGGTAACAATGGTTACCACTCTCCAGGTGAGGGCTACAGATAACTCAAACATACAAATGCTCTTCAGGTAGCAGAGATCAGTCCCTCTGGAGAAAACAGTGGACTCTGTCATTAAACCCTGCTGAGGTCGCCACAGGAAACTGACACTGTTTGCCCAAAGCCAAAGCACTCTCCCAGAGCCTCTTCCTAGATCCCGTTGTATTTATTTCCGCAACGGGCATTATTTCTATGATGTCAGCTGCGACTTGACGGCACTTCTCACCACCGGGCCTTCTTTGCCGCCTTTCTTTCTTACGGAGCTCAAGGCATATAAAATGCGTTCAAAACATAAAAGCCCAACCGAGGTGCTTCCACACACGCTTAAACAGCCCACTTTCAATCCACTCTCAGTGCACTTGGCGACTGGATTTTTACTGCGTGGCATGGCAAAGCCTCCCCCCTTGCAAACGGTCGCCGAAGCGGATTGAAACTGCATTCTCTAGCATGCGTGAAAGCGCCCTAAAAATCATAACTGAAGACTGCTAATAACCAAGGGCAGTCCTAAATAAAATCATCTTCAGATGCCTCCTGAAGATCGACAGTGATTGGGCCAGACGCACCTCCGGTTTGCCAGTTTGGTGTCGTGGTTAAGTGCGCGGACTCTGATCTGGGAGAACCGGGTTTGATTCCCCACTCCTCCGCTTGCACCTGGCTGGATGACCTTGGGCAAGCCGTAGTTCTGATAAGAGCTGTCCTTGAAAAAGAGCCGTTTCTGTCAAGAGCTCTCTCAGCCCCACCGACCTCACAGGGTGTCTGTTTTGGGGGAGGGGAAGGGAAAGGAGTTTGTGAGCTGCTCTGAGACTCCTTTGGGTAGTGAAGGGCGGGGTATAAATCCAATCTCTTCTTCTTCTTTTACCTCACAGGGTGTCTGTTGTGGGGAGGGGAAGGGAAAGGAGTTTGTAAGCCACTCTGAGACCCCTTTGGGTAGTGAAGCGTGGGGTATAAATCCAATCTCTTCTTCTTCTTCTTTTAGAAGAAGAAGAAGAGAGAAGAGAGAAGAGATTGGATTTATACCCCGCCCTTCACTACCCAAAGGCGTCTCAGAGCAGCTTACAAATTCCTTTCCCTTCCCCTCCCCACAACAGAACCCCTTTGAGGTAGGTGGGGCTGAGAGAACTCTGACAGAAACTGCTCTTTTTCAAGAACAGCTGTGCCAGAACTATGGCTTGCCCAAGGTCATCCAGCCAGGTGCAAGTGGAGGAGTGGGGAATCAATCCCAGTTCTCCCAGATTAGAGTCCGCGCACTGAACCACGACGCCAAACTGGCTCTCACAGGGTGTCTGTTGTGGGGAGGGGAAGGGAAAGGAGTTTGTGAGCCGCTCTGAGACTCCCTTGGGTAGTGAAGGGCGGGGTATAAATCCAATCTCCTCTTCTCTTCTTCTTCTCCCTGGGAAGGTTGTTCCCTAATCATGGGGCTGCCACGGAAAAGGCCCCGTCTCACATACCCACCAGACGAGGTTCTTTGGTCAGTCAGGTAGTCAGGAGGGCGTTTCCCCGTGATCTTAGTGCCCAGGCAGGAACCTTATAGCAGAAGGCGCTCCTTCAGATACCCCCGGTCCCACGCCGTGTGGGGCTTGAAGACCCTTTCCTCTTGCTAACGCTTGGCCTTTCGTCCCCCTAGGTTGCAGCTCCTGCCTCAGTTCCCCCACCTCTGCCGGCACCAGCACCACCTGCACACAGTCCAGGGCCTAGCCACCCGCTCGGGCCCCACCTGCACCCGCTGCAGCCAGAGGAAGTGGCCGGAAGTACTGCTTTCCCCGGAAGCTGCCGCTGCGGCTGCCAACTTGACCGGCAGCGCCGTCGCCAAGCCGGCAAAGCCAGGAAGCAAGGCCGGCCGGCCGGGGGAGATCACCCTCCTCTCCGTGGGCAGGTAGGAACACGGGAGAGGGGAGCTCAGACCAGGGAGGGACCCCGTGGGGGAAGTCGAAAGGGGTCCGGGGAGTTTATTTTTATCATTAGCAGCCAATGTCGAACAGGTCTGTGTCCTTTTGCAGCCGTGGCGCGCTCTGATTCTGAGTGCATCACGCCCAGGGCTTTTTTGGTAGAAGAAGCCCAGCAGGAACTCATTAGCATAACAGGCCACACCCAACAGCAGGAACTCATTAGCATATTAGGCCACACCCCTGACAGCACCGCTCATTAGCATATTTGTGTCGTGGTTAAGTGCGTGGACTCTAATCTGGGAGAACTGGGTTTGATTCCCCACGCCTCCACTTGCACCTGCTGGATGACCTTGGGCAAGCCGTAGTTCTGAGAAGAGCTGTCCTTGAAAAAGAGCAGTTTCTGTCAAGAGCTCTCTCAGCCCCACTGACCTCACAGGGTGTCTGTGGTGGGGAGGGGAAGGGAAAGGATATTTGTAAGCCGCTCTGAGACTCCGAGTGAAGGGCCAGGTATAAATCCAATCTCTTCTTCTACTCCTTCTCCTCCATCAAAGTCAGTATTATCTGCTCAGACTGGCAGCTATTTTCTGGAATCTCAGGCAGAGGTCTTTCCCATCACCTCCTGCCTGGTCCTTTTTAACTGGAGATGCCGGGGTTTGAACCTGGGACCTTCTGCATGCCAAGCAGATGTTCTACCATGGAGCCAAGGCCAATGTCCCCTCTAAGACGAGTTAGTGTGAGCTAGCTCAGTTTTTTAGCCTCCAGCTCACACATTTTTGTCTTAGCCCAGGAAGGATGGCTCCGGAGCAAACTAATTTATGCAGTAGTCAAATCACTCACTCACAACTTTAATGCCAGTAGCTCACAAAGTAGAATTTTTGCTCACAAGACTCCACAGCTTAGAGGGAACATTGGCCAAGGCCCCTCCCCAAAGTGCTTTCTGAAACATGCTGGCTCTCAGCCATAATGGGCTTTATATAGGTCAAAACTGGCACCTTGGTTTCTATCTAGAAGCTAACAGGTAGCTGGCAAAGATGCACAAGACAGGTTGGATAGCCTTCCATTACAGCTTGGCTTACTTGCCTGAGTCATCCAGAAGTCTGCTGTTCAGACAACATGCTCACTTCTTTGGTTGGCTCCTCTCCCGATTCTTCCTTTGAGAAATTATGATGTTTTCCAGTTTCCTCCTCCCAGAGGCAGCTGAGCGCCTTGTGGCCCAGAAGTGTTCTGATCTATGCATCACTGAGAGATGTGTGTGTTTCCCCCCCCCTTTCCAAAAGGTTCCGTGTTGCCCGCATCCCTGAGCAGAAGCCAAGCCCCTCGGAAGTGAAAACCATCTCTGAGAGTGCAGGAGCCGAGTCAACAGTGTCCCCCTACGCCTGCCTGGTTCCGGGGCAGAAACCGCTTGTTGGAAATACCGTGAGGCCCAAATGGCTTACGACGGGAGACGGCCAACAAGAGGTGAGAGGGCTGAAGGAAAGCAGGCGCCAACTTTTGCAGGAGCCGCGAGTCCCCAGAAGAGCTGCGGTGTGCTAGCGGGGACCTCTTTCCGCGTTGCACACCCAGGTCTCTAAACCGGGCAGCAGTTTCACGGTTCTTAAAGGAATTCTGTAAAAGGGGATCTCAGGAGAAAGACAGGTGGGGGTACATGGAGTGAGCACACCTCATCTGTCCACTGAGACCCAGTGTGAACCCCTGTAGAGCTGTCTGTTCTTTTGACTCCTTTTGGGAAGGATTACCTTCTAATGAAGGAGCTGCGGTGGCTCAAGTGGTTAAGACGCTGAACTGCAGGCCAGAAGGTTGGTCATTCAGCAGTTCGAGACCCGAGTGCCGCATGATGGAGTGAGCCCCCGTTTCTGGCCCCGGCTCCTGCCAACCTAGCAGTTCGAAAGCAAGGAATGGCAAGTTGATAAATAGGTACTGCTTTGGTGGGAAGGCGACAGCGTTCCGTGCGCCTTGGCATCTAGTCACGCCGGCCACATGACCACGGAAACGTCTTCGAACAGCGCCGGCTCTTAGGCTTGGAAACGGAGATGAGCACCGCATCCCTAGAGTCGGATTTGACTGGCTTTCGAGAAAGGGAAACCTTGACCTTCTAATGCACATGTGCAGAGTGTCTGGGCACCCATCTCTCCTGCCTTTCTTTACATGCCCACTAGAAGGGACTCCTTTGATGGTGAGGATTTTAACAAATGTTGAGGCTCCTTCTTAGAGCTGCCAACCTCCAGCTGAGACCTGTCCGATCTCCTGGAATTACAACTGATCTCCAGAGATTGGTTCCCCTGGAGAAATGGGTGCTTTGGGAGCTGAACCCTATAGCATTATACCCCACGGAGGTTCCTCCCTTACCCAAACCTGCCCCCCCCAAACTGGAACGGGCCCTTTTCCACACTTCCTCTGATATTTTCTGTTGTGGGAGATATTTTCACCCTCGTTTGCAGCCACCATTTTCTCAATCTACTGCTCCCTTAGCACGTCGTTGTGAAAAATTGTTTTGTGCTTGATGTGCAAAATACTTTTTGCCAGTTTAGTGTCGTGGTTAAGTGCGCGGACTCTAATCTGGGAGAACCAGGTTTGATTCCCCCACTCCTCCACTTGCACCTGCTGGATGACCTTGGGCAAGCCATAGTTTTGTCAGAGCTGTCCTTGAAAAAGAGCCGTTTCTGTCCAGAGCTCTCTCAGCCCCACCTGCCTCACAGGGTGTCTGTTGTAGGGAGGGGAAGGGAAAGGAGTTTGTCAGCCGCTCTGAGACTCCTTTGGGCAGTGAAGGGCAGGGTATAAATCCAGTCTCCTCCTCCTCCTCCTCCTCCTCTTCTTCTTCTTCTTCTTAAAAAAATCCAACTTTCTGGGAATCTCCCTTGTTTCCTTTGGAGTGCCCCCCCAAAAAAATCACTGGAGGGGACTTTGAAAGGACCCCAAAGCTGGTTTTGCAAAACCTGGCCCAAGGTCCGATCCATGGATAGTGCTAGCACTTAACGTCCAATGCTCCCTCTAAGCTGTGGCGTCTCGTGAGCAAAAATTCTACTTTGTGAGCTGCTGGCATGAAAGTTGTGAGCCAGCGATTTGGCTGCCGCATGAATTAGTTTGCTTTGGGGCCCTCCGTCCTGAGCCGAGACCAAAATGTGTGAGCCGGAGGCTAAAACACGGTGAGCGAACTCACACTGACTCGGCTCAGAGGGAACGGTGCTTACGTCTTCCATGGAGGAGAATCTTGTGCAGCTCGCACCGTCTCTTGGTTGGTTGTAGAAAAGAGCAAGAGTCCAGGAGCCCCTTCAAGGCTAAAGCTGTGAGCTTTCGTGAGTCACTGCTCATACCCTGTCTGTGAAGAAGTGAGCAGTGACTCAAAAAAGCTCATACCCTGCCACAAATGTTGTTAGTCTTTAAGGCGCTACTGGACTCTTGCTTCCCTGGACTCTTGCTGTTTCCTACTGCCAGGGGTCATTTCCTGCAGGAGCGCACAGGAGCGGAGCTCCGGCACTAAAGAGCCCAGGGGGCGGGCACATGCAGCAAGCCCCACCCCCTGCTCCCAGCAGCCCTCAGTCAGAGCAAGAAGCAGCCAAGTAAGTTGCAGAGCCCCCCCCAGCCCCCCGGTCCAAAACAGTCCAGTGGCACCTTTAAGACCAAGTTTTATTCAGGTACAAGCTCTCCTTCCTCTGCGAGGACAGATCTGTGCATCCCCCCCCCATAGCTAGCAATCCAAAACAGTCCAGTGGAGCCTGAGCGGTGGGTGTGGCCTTCTGACACACTTCCGGTGATGTCAGGGGGTGTGGCATATGCAAATAAGTTACGCTAATGAGATATGCTAATGAGCTCCTGCCCCTCTTTTTCTACAAAGTGACCCCTGCCTACTGACACAGACAGACTAACACAGCTACCCATCTTGATCTAGCTCCCGGGTGGGTGGTAGGGAAGTTTTGAAAACCCTAGTATAACCCTCCCCCTTTCCCAGATTCTATCTGGGAGAGAAAAAAGATTCACTTGAGGTTTTAGGCTACCAGAGCATGTAGTTTTAATGGAATGATCATTCTGATACTAGATTCCGGTGGGTCGCCATGCTGGTCTGAAGCAATAGAACAAAGTTGGAGTCCAGTGGCACTTTTAAGACCAGCAAAGTTTAATTCTGGGTATAAGCTTTTGTGTGTATGCACACTGCTTCAGAACTTATGCTATCAAGAGAGCAAGCTGGCATATTGAACAAGACTCAAAGTTCTTCTTTTATAGGATAAAACAGGCAAGAGGTCAGGGTCTAGAATTCCAAAAGAAAGTTCACCAATTCCATCCTTAAACAGAATTCCCTTTTACCCTCCTTTCAGAGTACATCTTGCATTCCTTCTAGGGAGAAAAGGAAAATGAGCCCTTTACACGGTTTTCGTGGGAGATAAGGATGGAACAGATTCTTGACTGAGACAGGGTGGCTTACCGATCAGCAGGTCAAAGAACAGGTTTTTGAGCAAGGATGGGAGGAGGGGAAGACACATCCTAAAATGGTGCAGATCAACCTTAGACTCACAAAATCAAAAGTCCTTGTGAGAATCTTTGGTGTAGTTTGATGTCGTGGTTAAGTGCGCAGACTCTAATCTGGGAGAACCGGGTTTGATTCCCCACTCCTCCACTTGCACCTGGCTGGATGACCTTGGGCAAGCCCTAGTTCTGATAAGAGCTGTCCTTGAAAAAGAGCAGTTCCTGTCAAGAGCTCTCTCAGCCCCACCTCCCTCACAAGGTGTCTGTTGTGGGGAGGGGAAGGGAAAGGAGTTTGTGAGCCGCTCTGAGACACCTTTGGGTAGTGAAGGGTGGGGTATAAATCCAATCTCCACGTCCTCGTCCTCCTCCCCCTCCTTCGTCGCTGTCGTCGTTGTCTTTTTTTTCTTCTTCTTCTTCTTCTTCTTCGTTGTCTTCTTCTTCTTCCTTTGCTTAACTCTTAGCAGTTTAACAGTGGTCTCTCACACCCGTTCTGGCCTCTTGTAGAGAGCAGCCGTCGGGGCAGTCGCAAAAACCTCTCCCTTTGCCTGTGAGCAAGTGCCAGCTCTGTTTTTCAGGGGCTCCATGTTTGCAAAACAAGCCGATGACTAATGGTGACGTCTTGGGAGGCGAAGCCATTAGCGTGGATGGCCGGGACAGACAATGGGGCGCATTGTGACACACAATAAGGTGGGGGGGGGGTCGGAACTGCTAGGGGAGAAGCTCTTTGGGTGAGATGACGGATTAAGCGGCCCTGAGGAGGTGGGGGGAGAGCAGATGTTCGGTTATAGACCGCAGCTCCCTCCCCTGCAGTTAAATGGAGTGCTGCTGAAAGGGAGTTCTGTGTATAGCATCAGCTCTGGCCCACCAGGAGGAGGAGGAGGAGGAGGAGATTGGATTTATCCCCCGCCCTTCACTTGGAGTCTCAGAGCGGCTGACCAACCTCCTTTCCCTCCCCCTCCCCACAACCGACACCCTGTGAGGTAGGCGGGGCTGAGAGAGCTCTGACACAACTGCCCTTGGGAGAACAGCTCTGACAGCACTGTGGCTTGCCCCC